AAGAAATTATAGAGAGGAAAAGGGGTTTGCAAAAAGACAAGTCCCAGAGCTAGGGGGGATTGCCCCAGAAAAAGGGTTTGAGGGAAATCGGCCTGACGACATTTGGAGTCAGGAGGGTCGGGGAGACATGATAACAAAACAAAAAAAACGCACGGAATAAACGAGGGTACAAAGACGGGAATGTTCCAGAGAGGGGGACACAGACACAAAGGTCACAAGGGAAGTTGAAGACTCAGATAAATAAAAGGGTGTTAGGAATTTTTCTTCAGTCATAGATATCAGGCCAGGGAATGCCTAGAAGTGATTGGTGGGGGCAGGAAATACAAGTTTTAAGGGAGGTTGATAGAGCTCATGGGGGAGGGGGAGAGAGGCCTGTACAATCACGAAGAGGCGGGCCAGGAGCTGTGACTCGACCCCTGCAACCCCAAATAGTTTAGCACACACACACCACACACACACACCCACCAAAAACACAACACACAATACACAAACACACAACACACACACACACACAAACACACAAACACACACAAACAAAACAAAAAACACACACACACAACACACACAACACACACACCACACACAAACACAAACACACACACACACCGCACGCACACACACACACACACACACACACCCAACACACAAACACACACAAAACACACACACACACCCACACACACACCACACCACACACAAACACACACCCCAACACACACAAACCACACAAACACACACAAACACACACACACACCACACACACAAACACACACAAACACACCACCCACACCCCCCACCCCACACAACCCCCACCCCCACAAACAAAAAACACACACACACACCCCACACACACACCCCCACAAACCACACACACACAAAAACACACACACACAAACACAAACACAAACACCCCCCACCCACCCCCACACAACACACACACACACACACACCCCCACACAAACACACACAAACACCACACACACACACACACAACACCCCCACCACACACCCACCCACACAAAAAACACCCAAAAACCAAAACAACAACACCCACACCCACACACCACAACCCCACACAAAAACACCAACCCACACAAACACACACACA